TATAACAAATTAAGAAGAGGTCCTTTATTTCTTTGTCTTATCTAAGATGTCATACTTTTTTTTTCCCATAAGGGAGAGGAAGAAAACTGAAGTCTTAAGCAGACAGGAAATTTGGAGTGAATTTGTCATGGATGACTTGTTGACTTTCCTCGTAACTGAGGGGTTCCAGAAGAACACAGTGGCCACTTTATCACAGTTTTATACTGGTAAGGCAGCACTAGATAACTAAGATGCTCTTAGTGCTAACATGCTGTGAAGGAGGGCTTAGGTGCCAACTCTGGCACAGCTCTCTGATTTTAATAGAGCTGATGGATTACAGAATGTCAGAGGTCAAATGGCAGTACTCAAATCTAAGATAAGAAGTGGGCATTGATACTAATTACTAATTACTAACAGTTAATAGGGCCAGGAATGTAGTCAAATAGTTTGATACTAGCAGTCTGTTTGTGGTTAACTGTCCACAATGATAGATGGGCAGCCAACAGATTCTGAGTTGTATATTGTTTTGTTTGTTTTTTGAGACAAGGTCTCACTATAGACCAGGCTAGTCTATAACTAATGATCTTTGGGATCAGCTTCCCAAGTGCTAGGATTGTACAGGTATAGCATCAGGCTGGGATTAAGTTATGTTTTAAAATAAATGAACGAGCAAACAAATTAATGTTCTTGGTTCTGGTGAACAGAACTTATCTTTGTTGATATGGGTAAAGAGTAATGGCCTTTTCTTGATCTGTCCCTAAATCTGAGGTAGTTCATAGACCCAGAGCCCTTTGAATGTTGGGAATGCCAAGTGACATCTGTACCACTGTTACAGTATATGGTTCTCCTTTATACTTCCCACAAGAGATCTAGATTGTGTGTGTGTGTGTGTGTGTGTGTGTGTGTGTGTGTACTCGGGGCTTGAACTCAGGGCCTGGGCACTCCCTGGGTTTTTTTTCCCCCCAAATCTTGTGTCCTATCATTTGAGCTACAGCTCCACTTTAGGCTTTTTCCTTGTTAATTGGAGGTAAGAGTCTCATGGACTTTCCCACCTAGCCTAACTGGAACCACGATCCTCAGAATCTAGCCTCCTGGATAGTTAGGATTTCAGGCATAAGCAACCAGTGCCAGGCTAATCTACATACTTTTCTCAATGTGTCTGGATATTGAAGGAGGAGAATAATATGGACTTTGAGGGCGATAAATGTATGGTGGTTCTGAATCATCATTAACACCTTGACCCCCAAAATACCATTGGGCTTCACAATCCACAGTAAAAATAAGTAAAATATGATCTTCAGCAATTCAGTGGTTTAGCATACTTTTTACAGTAGGCCTAGTGGTTTTGTAAATCTCTCCCATATTATTTCCCTCCTGTTACAACAGACTGTCTGGAATAGGTCCTCATTGGCTTTTGGACCTGAGGAGTGAAGGGTATTGATAGTAGAAAAGGCCAAGTGCTTAGCAGTGCCCCTTGAATCTGTATATGCATTTGCTCCTTCATCTCTCAAGCCATCTTCAAGGCTCCAAGTTTTAATGATGCCCAAAGGAAGATACTTCGGTTGTTTTCAGTTTTGGTAATTATAAACAAATATGCTATACACATCCATGTTCAGGGTTTGGTTAAAATCCAAGGAACATGATGATTTGGTCATGTAGTAAGAGTATATGCGTATAGATATGTATGCAGACCATTGAGCTGTTTTCCAAAGTGAGTGCATCATTTTTCCTTACCATCAGCAAGGACAGATACTTTAGGTTTACATCCCGGCTGGAATTAAATGAAGTCAATGTTGTGGAATTTGGCAGTGCAAATGGGTGGGGGAATGGGTGGGGAATTGTTATGAGTTGCAATCCCCCAAGGGCATATCATGTAGAAGTTCCCCTCTAGTACAAGTTTATTGAGTTTTTATCATGAAATGATGTTGGATTTTTATCAAGTCCTTTATAAAAGGAAACAGAGGAGACTTATTTAAGCAAAAGCTAGATTTTATAAAGCAGAGCTGATCATAAATATCCACTTTTTTCTATAACCTTGTGATCTCTGCTGGGATCACAAGCATGTGTCATACCCAGTTGTCTCTACATATTTTGAGGCTTTGTTTGAAAACAAAAACAAATTAAAGATTGTTGTATCTTCCTGAAGAATTGACCTTTATTTTTTCTTCATTGCTGGGCCTCATACTTGCTCAATTGGCTTGGCTGGCACTCTTTTACATCTAGCCCTGCATTTTGCTAGTTATTTTGGACACAGAGTCTCACAGACTTTTCTGCGTGGACTGGCCTCCAACATTGACCTTCCAGATGCCTGGCTGCTGAGTAGTTAGGATTACAGGCCACCAGTGCCCAGTAACCCTTTTGTCATTAAATAATATTACTCTACCTTATTCTGAAGTTTGCTGTCTGAAATTAACCTAACAACTCCCACTTTATTTTGATTACCTTTTAGCATGTTATATCTTTATCCATTTACTCTTCATTTACATGTATATTTGTATGTAAGTAGGCTGTTTTTCCTTTTTCATGTTTTCTTGTATCTTCGGCATGCTAGACAATTGCTCTGTCACACTAAGCTACATCCTGAGTCAGGGATCTGGTTTTCTGATCAACTCTGGCATTGTCTTTAGTTGGTACATTTAGACCAATGCCATCTAAAGGGGTAATTGGTATGACTAGATGAGTATTTACTAGATTTGTTATGTTTTTCTACTACTTGCCCTTGTTCTTTGTTCTTTGCTTTGTCTTCCACATTTTCCCACCATTTGTGGTTTGAGTATTTTACACAAATTCTTTTTCTATCTTTTTTTTTCACTTGTAGTTGTATCAGGAAAGGTTCTGGGTTGCTGAACATGTACTTAGAGGTAGAGAAAGGGTGGTGTGTCCAGAGAAGTCATGGGAATGCCATGTCCCTTCCCTCACACTTTCCCTACACATCTTCTTTATCTGACTGTTTCTGCATTGTAGTCTTTTATAATAACCCAGTAACCTGAGTTTCATGAGCCTTTCTAACAAATGATCAGATTCAACAGAGGGTTGTAGTAGACTCAGACTTGGAACATAGAGGTAAACTCATACTGGCAATTGGCATGGGGAAATGTGGGAGGTCTTGTAGGTCTGAGCCCGTACCTTGTAGGATCAAATGCCATCTCCCAGAAAGTAGTGCCAGATTGAGTTAAATGTGTTCACACCACGGGGTCCACATGGAATTAAGAGAATTGTTTAGCATGCGAAAAGAAAACCCCATACATCTGAGCGACAGAAGTGAAGTTGTAAGAGTGGCACTAGCATAGAAAGACAAAGGAGTTCTGAAGTTGTAAGAGTGGCACTAGCATAGAAAGACAAAGGAGGCTTTGTTCTCTAATGTTAGCAGCTACAAGAATGGGCAGACAGAGGTGAGACAACCGAAGGGCTTCAGGGAGAGTTCCTGAAGATTCCCCACTTGGGTGCTGTAGGAAGTGGCTTCCCTGTAGTTTCCTGACTTCTGGATTTATTGAAAACCAGCTGCAGCTCCTCTAACTTCTCATCTCCCCTTGTCCTCCTCGCCAACAGTTTCCCAAGCATCTCTTCCCACATACTAACTCTCTTCTTGCTTGCATGGATGTCAGGCACACCACCCCAAATATGGCTGTAGACCAGAATATACCATTCCAAAATATACTTCTTTAGCACAGTGCAAGCTAGTTATTCTGAGAAACCACAGATACTGGTGTAGCTATCAAAAGCTGTCCTTTTGTAAAAGAAATTTACATCTAGACAGCAAATCTAGGTCAGTAGAAGTATCTGTGTCAGGAAGAGGGCTGCTCCAGACAATTTTAATCATTGGAGAGATTTTAATTCACATATAAGACATCCTTCAGCCACAACAGTCTTCCATAATGTGTCCCCTTTATGTCCCAATGCGCTCTTCATTTCTATAGCTCAGGATGCTACACATACTTCAGCCACATGTCCTCATGTCCTCTCCCCTCCTCCCCAACCTTTTTTTTTTTTTTTGCCAGTCCCGGGGCTTGAACTCAGGAGCCTGGGCACTGTCCCTGAGCTCCTTTTTTTTTTGGTCTGTCGTGGGGCTTGAACTCTGGGCTTGGGTGCTGTCCCTCAGCTCTTCAGCTCAAGGCTAGCACTCTACTACTTGAGCCACAGTGCCACTTCTAGCTTTTTCTTGATTGAATTGGAGATAAGGGTCTGCACTGACTAGCTTTGAACCATGATCCTCAGATCTCAGCCTCCTGAGTAGCTATGATTACAGGTGTAAGCCACCGGTGCCCAGCCCTAAGCTTCTTTTGCTCAAGGCTAGCACTCCACCACTTGAGCCACAGCACCACTTTTGGCTTTTTCTGTTTATGTGGTACTGAGGAATCAAACCCAGGGCTTCATGTATGCTAGGCAAGCACTCTACCACTAAGCCACATTCCCAGCCCCATGACCCTTCTTGAGTTTCATACTTTGTGAGGCATTCATGGATGTGCTCATACTAAAAATGGGGTTTTCTCCTGTTAATCTGTTTTGTGTCAATTTCATTTGTAGCCCAACCAAAGTAGATTCTGCTTTCTGTTTTTTTTTTCTTTCTAAGATCATGACTTAAAATTGATATCTGACTCTTTGACTCATTGGCTGGTGCTCTACTATCTGAGCTAAGCCTCCAAACTCTTGATTCTAATTTTGTTGTTGTTGTTGGTTGTGGGGCTTGAACTCAGGGTTTGGGTGCTGTCCCTGAGCTCTTTTGCCCAAGGCTAGTGCTCTACCAGTTTGAGCTATAGCTCCACTTCTAGTTATCTAGTGACTAATTGAGATAAGAGTCTTACAGACTTTCATGCCCAGGCTGGCTTTGAACTGCATTCCTCAGATCTTAGCCTCCTGAGTAGCTAGGATTACAGGCATGAGCCACTAGCACCTGGCTGATTCTGTTTTCTTGATAGAACTTCTCAACCTCCTGGGTACAATGAGACCTTCAGTTGTAATTGGTTATTATTCAGGTCTATGGGAATAGGAAAACTGTCAAGCATATCTATTTGCATGCTTACTTGTTCATATTCTCTTTTTGTCTCTTCTAGTTGTTTAAGGATGGCTGCTTGTTGCTGAGAACTGGTCAATTCCAATTGGTTCTCTTTGTTCTGTAGGGTTTTAACTTGTTTTTGTAGCTCATTCACATTCTGATCCAGGAGTATCCTGAGGAAAATGATTCACATTAAATCACTCTGTGTATTTATTTCCACACTTTGCTAATGAAATCTAAGATTATTAGGCTTCCACAGAGGGGTTTTTTTTGGGGGGGAGGGAGGGGCATTCAGCAAAGTAGAGTACAAGGTAAGATAAAAGAACTGACACAGAGACTATCTTTGTGATAGTCGCTTTTTAAAATTCTCTCACCATCCAAACAACCCAGGAGCATGAAACATTTTTCCTTATTTCAGAGACGAGGAAGATATGGCACAGAGCAGCCAGAACAGGGCTGATGCAGGGCTTGCATCCTGAATCCCACTCCCACCTTCTTCCTCAGTACCTTATGAGGTGAGCCCTGGATCTTCAGGGCTCAACATAGGCTCCTGAATTACAATCACTGCTGATACTAATGTACACGTCAGCGCTGCTACAAGCCTGAATTTGGTGAGGAAATGCTTCCTCTGCCAAAAGAGTGTCATTAGCACTTCATTCTTGCACAGAGTCACATTGGATTAGTTTCTGGAAAGAATTTCTGAGGGCTTCAGACCAAGAAACCTCTCTGTACTGAAGGAGATGCACCTTGAATCTCCATTCTCAATTTCTGATCAAGGGATAAAGAGATAAACCTTGAAACTGAAAGGGAAGTATTAGTCTGATGAAACTTAAAAAAAAATGAGTTTTCTGTACTAAAAAAAAAATCTAAGCCAGCCTGGGCAGGAAAGCCAGCTCTCTAATTAACTCCCCCTCCCCCAGGGCCAGAAGTAGAACTGTGGCTCAAGTGGAAGAGCACTAGCCTTGAGTGAAAAACTTGGGAACAGCATCTAGGTCCTGAGTTCAAGCCCCAGTACTCCCCACCCCAACCCCTAATCCCTGACATAAAATCAAGGATTTGAAAACTAAAAAATAGGAAGTCAAAATTAAAAGAGCGCAGGCACCCAGTGGCTTATACCTGTAATCCTAGCCACTCAGGAGGCTGAGAGCTGAGGGTCACAGTTCAAAGCCAGCCTGGGCAGGATAGTCTGTGAGACTCTTTTTTTTTTTTTGTTTCTTTCTTTTTTTGCTGGTCGTGGGGGCTGAATTCTGGGCCTGGGTGCTGTCCTTCTGCTCTTCAGCTCAAGGCTAGCATTCTACCACTTGAACCACAGCACCACTTCCAGCTTTTTCTGCTTATGTGGTGCTGAGGAATTGAACCCAGGGCCTCATTCTTGCTAGGCATGCACTCTACCACTGAGCCACCTTCCCAGCCCCTCTGTGAGACTCTTATCTCCAATAAACCACCAGAAAAACTAGGCTAGGGCCTTGAGCTAAAGTACTGAGGGACAACATCCAGGTCTAGAGTTTAAGCCCCACAACTGACAATAACAAAAACAAAAACACAAAATTAAAAGAGTAGAACATGAATATATCAGAAATTATTTCAACTATTATAAAGAGAATTTCAACCATCAAGTATATTGATAAGATAACTTTTTCCCCTATAGCCTGAGGCTACTCTCTCCCAAGTTATAAAACAATCTGTACTGTGTAGTCTCCTCTCAGTGGAAACATTTTTTTTTTTTTTGCCAGTCCTGAGGCTTGAACTCAGGGCCTGGGCACTGTTTCTGAGCTTCTTTTGCTAAAGACTAGCACTCTACCACCTGCACCACAGATAGTACTCTACCACTTGAACCACAGCACCATGTCCTGCTTTTTCTGTTTATGTGGTAGTGAGGAATGGAACCCAGGGCTTCATGCATGCTAGCACTCTACCACTAAGCCACATTCCCAGCCTGGTGGAAGCCTATTCTTTCTCCTACATGTAGTTTCACAATTGATTTTATGTATTTCTTCTCAAAAAACCCTCAGAAAATAGGCATTCCAACTTTAGAGATACGAAGACCAAGTTTCAGAAAAGTTAAATATCCTTTTTCACTGTTTTAATAATTTTATTTATTTATTTTTAAAGTTTCACACAGGTATTTCCTAACCAATCCTTTATGACTATTGGGACAATAAATATGGTGCTTCTAGTTCCTGCCGACTTTTATTCATACTAGCCAATGTTTGGCAATGTTAATGCAAGCTCATATTTTATTAAACCTATTATATGCGCATCCCTAATAGGGTTGCTTTCTTCCAGAGATTATTTGGATATGATCAGTTTACCTTGTGGCAAGTCTCCTCAACTTTTTCCTGAATCCAGATGGTTATATTCTCCTTTGCTTGGCAGCTTGGGCATCATTCACCATTTGTGTGTGTGTGTGTGTATGTGTTGGTCCTGGGGCTTGAACTCTGCCCCTCAGCTCTTTAGCTCAAGGCTAGCACTCTACCACTTGAACCACAGTGCCACTCCCGGTTTTCTGGTGGTTAATTGGAGATAAGTCTCACAGACTTTCCTGCCTGGACTGGCGAGGATTAGAGGCGTGAGCCACTGGCACCCAGCTCATTCACCAATTTTATTTTAACATCTTGTACATCTGCTCTTGTGGATTTCTCTGATTGTTACAAGTTAGGATAGCCTGACATCTTGTTAGGCATGGTGATCGAGGTGAGTCATCTCCACAGCACCTCACTAAGTGAATTCATTATTCACAACACTAACTCAAATACCCATTCAGCCAATAAATGTTTGGCTATTGAATGTTAAGTCCTATGCTAGAACTTTCAACTACAGCTGGAAGTTTCTGGGCAGTCCTGGTACTTGGAAGTTGGCCTGGGTGAAAAACTTGTGATCCTATCTAAAAGCAAACTAAAAACAAAAAGGGCTAGGGTGTGGGGTAAAAGGCTTACCTAATAAGCATTAGGTACTGAGTTCAACCCCTTGTATTGTCACACAAAAAAGCGAATCCCAGACTATCGGATTTCACAGGTAATCTGGCCATTCAAGAAGTTACCAGTGTACTACCAGTAGGTCCCAGAATAGAGACAAATAGTGTCTGTCTTTAGGAATCCCACAGTCTGGTTCCAGAGGCAAAGAGGACAATAATCAGTCAGAACAGTGTGACGAATGTGAGCTTACTTCTGAGCTGATAGGCACAAGCCTGGTGAGACCGCAGGAAATGCAGCTCTCTGCTCCTCTTACCTCCTCTGCTGTTCTTCCTGATACTGCTGCTGCAACTTGGCTTCATTTTGTATGGTTTCTTTCATCTTTTCCTCTAGTTCCTTCTTCAAAATACAAGTGTCTGAGAGATAGGCTTGCTGAGCATGCTCTAACTTCTGCTGCAAGTCCAAAATCTTGAATGAAAAAGTTTACAAGTCAGATGTTAGGAAGAGTGTGACCTTTTCTTTTTTTCTTCTTCAATTTAGGGGAACAGCATGTAGATATCAATGACAGCAGTGCTAACATACAAATCTGATCCTAAGGAAGGAGTGTGGCAAGATGTAACTGTAAAATAAATTACTTATTGGCCATATGGGGGATATTTATAGAATTCAATATGTATACATAAAGTAAGTTATAAAATCAAAAGAATCTTTCTCATTACTATCTCTGTTTTCCTCCAGTAAATAAGTATCCACTGGTATACTTCCAGAGATTCATAAACAGATCACAGATAGCTATTTTTCACATGTACAAACATTCTATACAGTGATTTACTACAATAAGTTTATGCCTCTTGTGTGTGTGTGTGTGTGTGTGTGTGTGTGTGTGTGTGTATGTGTGTGTGTGTGTGTGTGTGTGTGTGTGTGTGTGTGTGCGCGTGTGTGTATGTTCTGAAGCCTGAACTCAGGGCCTGGGCTTGTCCTTGATTTTTTTGCTCAAAGCTACTATTCTACCACTTGAACCACAGCTCCACTTCTGGTTCTGGCTTTTTTTCGTGGATAATAGAGATAATAGTTTCATGGATTTTCCTGCCTGGTCTGGTTTTGAATCAAGATCCTCAGATCTCAGCTTCCTGAGTAGCTAGTGTTTGAAGTGTGAACTCCCTGTGCCTGGCTACACTTGGCTTTTTGTTTTGAAAACAATGCATTTAGTGATTTTCCTTGTATGTATGCATAAATTGTCTTCTTTACTACAGCTGCAAGTACCATTCTACTGTAAGGATATGACGGGCACCTACCGAAAGACATTCTAGTCTAATAGTTTTACAATATCTGTAGAATAAGTGTGATTTTCTAAGGCAAATTCTAGCTAATATAGCTCATAAAGATACTATCTCATCTCCATAGCTTAGTACAATCCATTGTTCAACCTCATAAATAGAATCCTAGGCTTCTATGTGATGGCTTCTTTAATTCAACATCAACTTTTTGAGTCTACTTTAGATTATAGTCATCTTATTTTTTCAGGGGTACTGGGGCTGAACTCAGGGCCTGATTCTTGCCAGGCAGGTGCTCTGCTACTTGGGCCCACAACTTTTTTCTGCTTCTGTTATTCCTTGAATAAAGTCTGGCTGGTCTGCCCTGGACTTCTTCCAATTTATGCTTCCTATGTAGCTGGAATGACAGTTGTCAACTACAATGCCTAACTAGTTTGCTGAGATGGGATCTCACTAACTTGTCAATGGTGGAAGGTGTGCCCAAATCATAGTCTTCCTATCTTTGCCTTCTGAATAGTTGGAAATATAGGCATGAGCCACCATGCCAGGTCTGTCATCTTGGGTTTTTTGTTTTGTTTTTGTTTATGCCAGTCCTGGGGCTTGAACCTAGGGCCTGAGCACTGGCCCTGAGCAGTCTATCCCTTGAGCTTTTTCTGTGTATGTGGTACTGGGGAATCAAACCCAGGGCTTCATGCATGCTAGGCAAGCACTCTGCCACTAAGCCACATTCCCAGCATAATGATTGCTTTAGCTTTGACTCATACAAAGCTGCACATCAAAATGTGTAGTTGAGCTGGGCACCAATGGCTCGTACTTGTAATCATAGCTACTCAGGAGGCTGAGATCTGAGGATCATGGTTCAAAGCTAGTCAGTGCAGTAAAGCCTGTGAGACCCTTATCTCCAATTCAATCAAGAAAAAGCTAGAAGTGGAGCTATGGCTCAAGTGATAGAGTGATAACCTTGGGCAAAGGGAGCTCAGGGACAGTGCCCAGGTCCAGAGTTCAAGCCTCAGGACTGGCAAAAATAATAGATAGATAGATAGATAGATAGATAGATAGATAGATAGATAGATAGATAGATAAGATAGATAGATAGATAGAGTGCAGCTATGCACTACTGCCACCTAGTGTTAGACTATCTAAAATGCAGGGGTAATGTTTGAAAATGTTTCATTCATTTCACAATAAAAATCCCTATAAGAATTACAAAATAAAAATGACATTATCAGCTAATATAGATCAAAGGAAAATAAACCATTTAAAATGTGAAAGTGAAGGAATGTGAATATAGTCAACATACTTTATGCACATGTGTGAAGCTTCTTGAAAGTAGTTTGGGCCTGGCAAGGGTAGTTCACTTCTGAAATCCTAGCTTCTTGGGAGGCTGACCCCTGGAAGACTAAGATTCAGAACCAGCCTGGGAGGAAAGTTCATGAGATGCTATTTCCAACTAATCAGCAAAATACTAGACCAGAGGCATGATTCAATTGGTACAGTGCCATCAGTGAGCAAACAAGCCAAGTGAGAGCATGAGATCTTTGAGTTCGAGACCTGGTACAAGAGGAAGGAAGGAAGGAAGGAAGGAAGGAAGGAAGGAAGGAAGGAAGGAAGGAAGGAAGGAAGGAAGGAAGGAAGGAAAAAGGAACGAAGGAAGGGGAGGGAGGGAGGGAAGGAGGGAAGGAGGGAGGAAGGGAGGGAGAGAAAGAAAAATATAGGTAGATGATAGATAGATAGATAGATAGATTTGGGAACCAGGAGGCAGGGGAAAAGAGTGACAGAGGAGGTGAATATGATCAAGATAACTTGTACGTCATGTAAGTTTTAAACATGAGATTTACTGGAATTATAAAAGCTGGTAAAATAAAAAAAGGAAAACAAAGGAAGGAAAATAAAATATTAGAATTCTGCCAGATTTGCGCCATTTTCTAGTTCTTAAAATCCTTAAGGAAAAGGGTTTCTGTGGTGGTAATGAGTGTATACGAGGTATTAAGTGTGAGAATAATTACCCTTTCCTGTGCCTCGGCAGCATTCAGCTTCTCCTGAGCTAGCTTTTCCTGCAGATTGCTCTGTGATTTAATGCTCTGAGCCTGCTTAAGTCCATCCAGCTCCAGCTCCTTGATTTTCTGCTGACATTGCTTCCACTCTGCTGTAAGTGAAGAATACATCTTTGTGCTGTCTAGTAATTTCTCCTGGGTCTGCTTTAGTTCAATTTTCATCTAGGGTTGGGGAATAAATACAAATGATAAAATCAACATGGAATAAGCAGGCCACAATAAGAAGCTATGAAAGAAATTACTTCCTTCAAAAACTAGTAAGGCTGGGCAAGTTGGTACATACCTGTAATCCCAGAACTTGGGAGGCTGAGGAGGCAGGAGTTTAAGACCAGCCTAGTCTACACAGAAAGACCTTGTAACACCCCTCCCCTATTCATAAAGCTGACAAATAAATATCCATACCATGTGGCTCCATGTGGAGCTCCATGCTTTAGTAAACTTTACCTAAGTCTCTCCCATCAGACTGGCTGGACAAAGGAATTTTTCTAGTACTCTCCATGTTTGCAGAGCTTAAACATTTCCCATTCTTTCTTTAATCTTTCCAAACTGGCTTTCATGGCTATAACCCCCAGAATTGTTTTGCCAAGGGCACCAACTGATCACCCCAGTGTCAAAATAAGCCCAGGGTGCAAATGACTTGTCAGGAGCACCCACTGTCTTCATCTCCTGGTTGCTACCTCTCTGCTACTCCTTCTTGTTCTCCTTTGTAGACTCTTCCACTGTTACCCAATCTCTGTATTATTGGATGAGAAAGTGGATGATTCTAGGTTCATTTCTATGATTTGAAGTGTTATTTTTATGTGAGTAACTATCAAGTTTGTTAATGAATTCTTTCTGATTTCAAGGTTGGTTTTCTCACACACATTTTGGTTTATGCAGGCTTGCCATCAATGCACAGGTCACCCTTGAGTTTTCTTTTTCTCTTGTGATCCAGTTCCCATCACAGAACCCATGTTGCCACTCTACCTCCACAACTACTAGACATCAATCAGTGTGTGTCATTTTTGTCACCAACCTAGCCTAGATCAAGCAAGGTGCCCCTCCCCCATCCTGTCACTTCCAATTTTACTCCTGTGCATTCCCTATGCAGCACCCAACATATTCTCTTTTAAAAAACACTCATGAAGCCGGTTGCCGGTGACTCTGCCTGTAATCCTACCTACGCAGGAGGCTGAGATCTGAGGACTGTGGTTCAAAACCAGTCCAGGCAGAAAAGTCTGTGAGACTCTCATCTCCAATTAACAACCAGAAAACCAGAAGTGGCACTGTGACCCAAGTGGTAGAGTTCTAGCACCCAGGCCCAGAGTTCAAGCCCCATAACCACTAAAAAAACCAAACCAAACCAGAACACACACACACACACACACACACACACACACACACACACACACACACACACACACACACACACACACACACACTGTACTTGACTCCTGTGCTTTAAAATCTTTCAGCTGTACTGGGCACCTGGTGGCTCACATTTATAATCTTGGGTACTCTGAAGGTTGAGACATGGAGGATCATAGTTCAAAACTAGCCTGAGAAGAAAAGTTCTCAAGACTCTATCTCCAATTAACCAGCAAGAAAAGCTGGATTTGGTTGGGCAACGGTGGCTCATGACTGTAATCCTACTTTCTCAGGAGACTGAGGTCTGAGGATCACAGTTCAAAGCCAGCCCGGGCAGGAAAGTCTATATTAGTCTTATCTTCAATTAACCACAGAAAAGCCAGAAGTGGAAGTGTGGCTCAAGTTGTAGAGTGGCAGCCTTGAGAGAAAAAAAAAGCTAAGGGACAGTGTTCCGGTCCTGAATTCAAGCACCAGTGCCACCAGCACACACACACAAGGACATGGCTCACGTGGTAAAGCACCAGCTGTGGGTGAAAAAGCCAGGTGAGGGCATAAGGCCCCGAGTGCAGGCCCTGGTACTGGCACACACACGGGTATTTTACTAGCAAAGGAACAAATCCCAGCAACTACCCACCCCTGTGCAATCTGGCCCTTTGTGGTCTCTTTAAAACCATCTGAACTGTCACACTGGATTCTATTTAGAGATTCTGAACACTGAATTCTTTCCACACTTCATTCTGCCAGGAGTCCTTCACCTTTCCCCTCCTTATTATGAACTTGTCGGCCTGTTCTTCAGGTCTCTGCTCAAATATCACTTTGCTTAAATGTCACAATCCTAAAGAGGTTTCCTTACTCCTGTTATAGATGCTCTAAACCACACATATTTCATCCAACAAACTTATCAAAACTGTAATTAAACATGCCTATAGTTATTTGTTTGTCATCCTTCTTCCCCAGGGACCATCCTCTTTATTTCCCTTTCAATAATCAAGGCCTCTTAGTGCCAGAGAGTGGGTGAATGACCAGTTCCTACTGAGGAATATCAGAACCTTGTAAATGTGGACACAAGGCCAAGGAATCACAGACAAAATGCTAAGACAGTGAACGTGGTCCTTGTGGGTAACAGAATTCCATGATCTCAGAATTTATCGTGTCGTAACTATAGTCACTCTGTATGTGTCTTTACTAAATTAACCAATCAGATTCTACCAAGCGATTCTAAAAGTTAGTAGTTTTCTTGGTGCCCTGGTTGAGCATCAGATGAACACAACTGTACTGGAGGGATAATGACTGCTGACTTGGGATAGCTGTGAGGCTTCATTAAAGAAGGCAAAGCAACTAAAGCTTCAGGAACCAAGTTCAACACACAGGAAATATCCAGTGAAAATTAACTCCCATTATTCAAGAATCACAGAATGTCTACTGTGTTTGAAGTATGGAATGGAGGCTAATACGATTTCACATTTGTTAGGCTTTCATGTCTGTAAAGTAGCTCAGATTGGTATTTTATTTCATTTTAAACATGCAAACCTGAATCTTAAATAGAGTTGGCAAATGAGAAAGCTGGGATCTGAATACAGATTCTAATGCAGTAGGGTGCAGCATATTGATATTAAGCTGTTAAATGTGTGTATTTACTCTATCTCTTAGGAAAAAAAAACCCAATAGGGAATCAGAGCAAAGGTAAAATTTGATTCTTTGAAAAGGCTAACAAAATTAATAAGCTGATTAAGGGAAAAGAAACAAAGCATAGACAATAAATACCATGAAAGTAAAAACAACAATCATGATATTATTTTTTAAAAAAGTATTTTTGAGAGAGCATGTCACTACATTGTCCAGGATGCCTTAATATTCCTTGGCTCAAGCAATTTTCCTGCCTCCAAGTAGATTGGACTATAGGCATAGGCTAACATGCCTGGCTTTTTTTTTTTTAAGTTTTAAAGCTATAAATCAAATAGTAGAAAATAAAATATACCCTGATATAAGAAGAAAGTTTTAAAAATTGACTTCTTATAAGTGTTAAAGAAATGGGAGTTACCAGTTCCAAATCTTCCCAAAAAACTCTCAAAGTCTTTAAGTATTAATTCAAAACTCTCAAATAAAGGCCTTAGGTATGAATTCTTGTATAATTTAAGAAGAAACCATTGCTAGTCTTCACAAACTCTTCCAGAGAACAAAAAGAGAAGGTATGTTACTCATTTTAAGAGGCTGGGAGAACTGTGAGACCAATATCCAATGAGGGGCTGGGAATGTAGCTGAGTGGTAGAGTGTTTGCCTAGCATACATGAAGCCCTGGGTTTGATCCCTCAGCACCACATAAACAGAAAAAGCTGGAAGTGGTGCTGTGGCTCAAGCAGTAGAGTGCTAGCCTTGAGCAAAAGTAGCTCAGGGCCCTAAGTTCAAGCCTCAAGACTGGCAAAAAAAATCCCAATGAGGATTTTTTTTTTTTTGTTGGCCGTGGGGCTTGAACTCTGCGCCTGGGCACTGTCCCTCAGCTCTTCAGCTCAAGGCGAGCGCTCTACCACTTGAGCCACAGCGCCACTTCCGGTTTTCTGGTGGTTTATTGGAGATAGGAGTCTCACGGTCTCTCCTGCCCGGGCTGGCTTTGAACCGCGATCCTCAGCGCCCGGCCCAATGAGGATTTTTTAAGAACAGGGAAATGATAGGCTAGTTTCAGTCATGAACACACATGCCAAGATTCCAAATAAATATTAACAAGCTAAATATAGTGATATACAAATAGTAAAAATCATTGATAATTTATGATGAAGAAGGATGTATCCTAGAAATACAAAGTTGGGTTAACAGGAGGAAATCAGTCAATGTCATTGAGCATATTAATACATTTAAAAAAAATCTCATATTTTCAAAATATTTAGCCAGGTGCCAGTGGCTCATGACTATAATACTAGCTACTCAGAAGGCTGAGATCTGAGGATTGTGGTTTAAAGCCAGCCTGGACACGAAAGTCTGTGAGACTTATCTCTAATAAACCATCAGAAAACCAGAAATGGTGCTGTGGCTCAAGTGATAGAGTGCTAGCTTTAAGCTGAAGAGCTGAGGGACAGTGCTTGTGCCCAGAGTTCAAGCCCCTTGACCAACAAAACAATACAAAAATTAGAAAAAATAATTTGATGAAATTCAAAATATATTTCTCATAAAACATTGAGCAAACTAACCCTAGAAAGTGACTCCCTTAATGTGGTAAAAAGATCTATCTATCTATCTATCTATCTGTCTGTCTGTCTGTCTGTCTGTCTATCCATCAATTTACCTATCTATCTGAGACAGAGTTTAATATTAGCTGGAACTCACAATCTTTCTAGCTCAGCTTAAAGTACTAGGGTTATGGGTCTGCACCACTATTTCAAGCCAAAAACATTAATACTACTAATACTACTACTATTAGTGCCATTGTGGACCTTCAACTCAGGGCCTGGGCATGCTGTCCCTGATCTTTTTTGTTGTTGTTCAAGGCTAGCACTTTATCACTTGAGCCAAGTTTTTTGGTAGGTTTTTTTTGTTGTTGTTTGTTTATTTTAATTGGAGATTAGAGTCTCACAGATGTTCCTGCCCAGGCTATTCCCCAACCATCCAAACTTTAATTTCAGGATTACAGGTGGAGCTCACTGACCCCTGGCACAAACATAACTTGCCAGTCTCTGGAAGCTTACTAACTGGTGAAATCTTACTTTGAGATTGAGACTGAGAAAAGGATGCTCACATTTACCAATTCTTGTTGCTATTACAATAGCCAGTACAGAAATAAGAAACAGTAATGAAAATCATATATTTGGAAGAGACAAAAGAAA